TCACATATTTTTCGTTGAAACGGTAAATAATCATTTATTTTAATTAGAAATTTTAAATTTAAATTTTTTAATATAAGAATATTTTTATTATTTTAGAATGTTTTATACCTTAATATAGGGCTCTTCTGCTGGAATCAAGTTTACTTTAAATCTAATATAAATATACTGAGTATCGAATAGAAATAACGTTTTCTTTTCCAATAATAACACGTACCACTAAAATATAATTACTCCACATAACACAAGAATCGAATAATTACCCTTTTTAACGGTCTACTGAATACTCACTAAACTGTTGCTCTTAGTGGCCTCCCTCGTGCTTGGTTCAGTTAAAAGCAAAGAAACCATTTTTTCACAACTTTTCTCCAGTCTTCACGTTTCCATTTTCTTTTGTCTAAGCAATCGCGAAAAAAATTATTTAAGAGATCGAATATGATTATATGAAATATCTCTTAATTTTATCCGACGCAGTACGTTAATGGAAATATATTTTGTCTACTACTATTACACAGTATACCTGTGACTGAATAATCTCTTTCTCTTTCTCTCTCCCTCTCCTCTTTATTTTCAAATCATTCTCTCTCTCTGTGTGTCTTGTTCTGCTATAAAAAACCTCATCTTTTTTTTTTTCATCTTGTAGTTGATAATACATTCTTTTACTAGCCTTATACATCAAGATAGGAGATGGGTGTTTCAAAAAAGACTCTTTTTTTACTATTTGTTAGTGTTTTTCTTGGAGAAATTAGTCTCTGCTCTTCTACCAAGGTAAATTTGGCTCTGTGTGAACTATGGGGACATATGGGGTTTTCTTTGAATGATGAATAGTTAGTAAAGTTGTGTTTTTTCTGTGTTTAGTTATATGTGGTGTACATGGGAAGCAAAGATAGTGATGAGCATCAAGATGAGATTTTGAGGCAAAACCATCAAATGCTTACTGATATTCATGGAGGAAAGTAAGTTGTTGGTACTTTTAGCTATGAGTTTGTTTTCCCCCTTTTTGTCTGTTTTTGGCAAAAATAAAAAACTGAAGTGGTTAATAATCTTTACAGTGTTGAACAAGCCAAGAGTTCTCATGTATACAGTTATAGACATGGTTTTAAAGGCTTTGCAGCCAAGTTGACTGAGAAACAGGCTTCTGAAATATCTAGTGAGTCTTTTACCTAATGTTTTATGTTACTGTTGATTACCTAATTTGATGGTTTGTACTCAGTCCACTGTTTGATGTTGAAACAAAACAGAAATGCCTGGTGTGGTATCTGTATTTCCAAATACTAAGAGAAACCTGCATACAACTCATTCATGGGATTTTATGGGGCTCAGTGAAGATGAAACAATGGAAATCCCAGGTTTTTCCACCAAGAACCAAGTTAATGTAATCATTGGTTTCATTGATACAGGTGATCATTTCTCTGTTCAACTAGCTCAAAGTTGTCTTAATTGCTGCAATCTTGTTCCAGTTAGGTGAAAGATATGATTGTTTAGGTGATCGATGGCACAAACAAAGTCGGTCCCTTCACTGATTGTGTTGTCACGTAATCACTAGTTACTTTTCTTAAGAAGAGTACAATAACATGACTCTGAAAAAGTGCTGAGTTTGTCATTTAGGTACATATGGTTGAACCTGGGGAAAGTAGTTCCTTTAGTACGTTGTTCCCTTTTCATCTCTGTAGGCATGTAGGATAAGTTTTACTGCGCATCAATCAATTCTTGTTTCAATCATTTGAGAATGATGGGATATGTTTGCTTAGATTTTCTTTAGCCCAAGTTTATTCAATTTTTCAACTTCCCAGTTTCTTCTTTGCATTTGTTGTACTGCTTGTGAATGTAAATAGAGTAAAGTCATCTCTCTGTTCATAACCTTATCAGTTTATCATTAGCCTGGTCCCCAGCTTCCTTGTTTTTTTCGAACTAATTAGATTTTGAGGTTAAGATCTTGAGACATTTACTGAAACAGGAATTTGGCCTGAGTCTCCAAGTTTTAGGGACACCCACATGCCTCCAGTGCCTGCTGGATGGAAAGGACAATGCCAATCAGGGGAAGCATTCAATGCCTCAATATGCAACAGGTTTCTTTTAATTATCAACCATTTCTTGCAGTTTAATGTATTGTTTTATAGATGACAAGTCTAATAAGAATTTTGTCTTGTATAGGAAAATAATTGGGGCAAGATATTATATGAGTGGCTATGCAGCTGAAGAAGATGAAAAGATCATGTTCAAGTCTGCCAGGGACAGTTCTGGTCATGGAAGTCATACAGCTTCAACTGCTGCTGGGCGTTATGTAGCTGATATGAATTACAAAGGTTTGGCATCTGGAGGAGCCAGAGGTGGTGCCCCAATGGCCAGGATAGCAGTGTACAAAACCTGCTGGAGTTCTGGTTGCTATGATGTTGATTTGTTGGCTGCATTTGATGATGCAATTAGAGATGGGGTTCATGTCATTTCTATATCTTTGGGCCCAGATGCTCCCCAAGGAGATTATTTTAGTGATGCAATTTCTGTGGGGTCATTTCATGCTGTTAGCCGTGGGATACTTGTAGTGGCCTCCGTTGGAAATGAAGGAACCTCTGGTTCAGCCACAAATTTAGCTCCTTGGATGATCACAGTTGCAGCCAGTTCAACCGATAGAGATTTTACATCTGATGTTTTACTAGGAAATAGAGTTCAACTCACGGTAATCCCACTTTTCGAATAGTTCATATGTGAAGTTATATCCAGTTTCTATCTCCTCATTATGTTCTGGATATTTGGAAGGGTGAAAGTCTTAGCTTATCTCAAATGCATACATCTGCAAAAATCATACCTGCTTCTGAAGCTTATGCTGGATACTTCACTCCTTATCAATCCAGGTGAAGCAGAAGGTACTTAACTGTTTGTTAATTGTAGATATGTATGCATTGACAATTATATTAAAGTACTTTTCGTTCCTATCTTTTCCACTAGTTATTGCTTAGATAGTTCTTTGAATAGAACTAAGGCCAAAGGGAAGGTTCTTGTGTGTCGACATGCTGGAAGCTCAAGTGAGTCAAAGCTGGAGAAAAGCAATATAGTTAAACAAGCTGGTGGAGTTGGGATGATCCTTATTGATGAAGCAGACAAGGGTGTGGCTATTCCCTTCTCCATTCCAGCAGCAACTGTTGGGCAAAAGATTGGAAAAAAGATCCTAGCTTACATTAATAATACACGGTTCACTTCTTTGTTAGTGGCTGTTGATATTTGTTTTTATTGTTCTTTGATGTTGTTAGCAATCATCTCATCTCTTTTATATTTACAGCCTCCCTACTGCAAGAATTCTCTCTGCTAAAACTGTTTTGGGAGCTCAACCTGCTCCTCGAGTAACAGCATTTTCTTCAAGAGGTCCTAATTCTCTAACACCAGAAATTTTGAAGGTAATTTATTTGCTTAAAATAGTACCGAATTAAAAGTCTTTCAACTGCTCCTTTGTTTTCTACATCGATCCCTCTTTGCATTTATCATTTAGACCAACAAAGTCTTATGTTGCATCCTGAGATTTCCTTCCAGGATCTTCAATGTGGTTTTAGATTCTTTCTTTTAACTTTGCATCTCTTTGTTCCTACTTTATATGAGGATTTACTTTTTTTCTTGCAAGTAATATACCTGCTGATTTTCCTTGTAGCCTGATATTACTGCTCCCGGTTTAAATATCCTGGCAGCATGGTCCCCAGCAATGTCTAGGTTGAAGTTCAACATACTCTCTGGAACCTCCATGGCTTGCCCTCACATATCAGGAGTTGTTGCCTTGTTAAAAGCCGTGCATCCATCATGGTCTCCCTCTGCAATCAAATCAGCCATCATGACAACAGGTAAACTAGATGCCTTACATAGTCTAACTATGCAACTCTTGATTCTGAGGTTTGCTTTAAAGAAGGAAAAGGGTGAGGGGATCAAGATTTGGTTTTGTTTGAGCATATTATCTTAAAAATACTTATGGTTTTATTTGAGCATTGTATGTTAATGTATAAAGTGAATTTAACTATTACAGAATAATCTAATGTCATGAATGTTAATGCAGCCAAACTATCAGATATGCATCACAAACCCATAATAGTAGATCCTGAAGGGAAGAAGGCTAATCCATTTGATTTTGGTTCTGGATTTGTTAACCCCACGAAAGTCCTCAATCCTGGTCTGATATATGATGCACAACCAGAAGATTACAGAGCATTTCTTTGTTCAATTGGTTATGACGAGAAATCTCTGCATCTAATTACAAGGGACAACAGAACGTGTGATCAAACCTTTGCATCGCCAAATGAACTAAATTATCCCTCCATCACAGTACCAAACCTCAGAAACAATTACTCAGTATCTCGAACTGTCACAAATGTGGGAAAGTCAAGGAGTACTTACAAGGCAGTTATATTTGCACCAAAGGGTATCAATGTTACTGTGGTGCCGCGAAGATTAGCCTTCACTAGATATTACCAGAAGATGAATTTCACAGTGACTTTCAAAGTGGCTGCACCTACACAGGGATATGTCTTTGGGTCCTTGTCATGGAGGAACAAAAGAACATGGGTAACATCTCCACTTGTTGTCAGAGTGGCACATTCCAATATGGGTACTGTGGTATAGTTCAGCTGCAGTGCTATTTATTTGTGTTATATAAGGTAAGTAACAAGATATTGCAACCAGTAGCTGCTGAAAATGGTTGCATGAAGAAGCCAACACAAAATTCTTAGAAGAATACATGTAATTAGTAGCAGAATACAAATAATTAGTAATTCTTTATTCTATTTGTCCTTTAGTTTTGAGTTTTGGTTCTTGCTACCTAGTCAGGTTTTACTAATAGGGATACTGCAAATTCTTTTACTTGTCTAGTAATTGCATTATGTATTGGCATCTTTGCTTCTATATGTACTAGTAGTTCATTCTTTAATGGAATATCTTATCATGTTGGTATTATAAAACCCAAGAAACAAACAAAATGCAGTTCTCTTCACACACTTTGGTAAGTACAATGTCTTGTGACTTCCAACTGATCCAACATGCAGTTTGGTAATTGTGCAATAAACAATCAGTCGATGTTATATAATGCATCGTTACAATCTCAACTTTATGCTAACAGAAGTTGGATTATTGTACACAATTCTGTATATATCCCCAGTTTACCGAAAAAACACATTATAAATAAACCATCATAATCGCTGGCCTTGGGATTGAATATCTGAAGGATCAACCAGGCCTTCTAACACAACAAGATCATCAAGGAGTGTTAGCTTCTCGTCTTCAAGGGCCTTGATCTCATCATCGGTTTCTCTCAATTCTTTATTAAGACCAAAACTTTCTTCTTCCAGCAATAGATACTTTCTCCTTAATGCCCGATATTCTTTTCCAGAAGTGGAAGTATCTGGCGAGAATTCAGGTGTTGATTTCTCAGCATATTGGAATAATGGGGAAACTTCGTTTGGTGGGACTCTCTTGGTGTGTTTTAACCCATTTTGAATTGGCATTGCATGCACATCTTGTATCCTTTTTGCCTTATTCCCTTCTTTTTGCAATACTGTAGCCTTCGGTTGTGATGTTTTCTTTTTCCGCATTTTAGGAGCTGAAGCTTCCTCAAGTCCTCTCTGGTCTTGCATATCTCTAAAATTGATCTACAAGGATAAACAGCTATTGATATCAAAAGGCTGGAGTCTGAAAGAAAGCTACAGTTGTATAATCCACAAGAATAATAGAATCCAACTTCTAGATTCTAACTTATGCAATCTTTCTCACCAATCTCACACATAAAAACTAAAGAACCCTGAAAAGATAATTGGTAATTCATGCATGCAGTCCAAGGTAATATCCCATTATGTTCTGATCATCATCCACAATATCTTTGGGGTGTTGGTGGGGCAGCGGGAGAGGATCCACTCAGGAATTAATAAAAACGTCAGATTACTACTGTAAAGTATGAGTCCCAGGTAACATGAAAACCACTTACCAACATTATCAATTTCTTAACACTCTCAAGGAAAATATAGAGGGAAAAGATGAGTTCTATCAACAAGAACCCACTGAATAATATAGAGAATACTGTTCCAGACAACTCAATATACAGAGCACCGACATAGCATGGCACATAATTTATTTTAAACTAAATTGGACACCAAAAACATCAGTTTTTTCCCATTCTATAAAACGATTTGAAAGACTGGATAGAGGGTCATGGTGAAGAATCTCTGTCCTTGTCAAAAGCTTTGACCTTCATTTGTTCTACCTTCTCCATACATTTTACAGTTCTAATTAAGCAAAACGATTACATTATACTCTAATTCAAGATGAGAGCACTATACCAAGGTGACTGTTTTTGAGGCTTTTTTTCTAACAAGAATATCTTATCATCAATTTTGGCTGGTATTGGCAGTTTTGACTTTAGACTCAAAGAATAACACTTAATGTATGACCATCAAAATGATGGGCCTTATGATGCCCAGCCAAACAATAAGTCTCCTAACATAACCAGAAGAACATAGGACAAAAGAATTACAAGTAAATTTGTAAGTCATTAGAGTTGATATTTCACACCACTATTATCATATTTAGGGGATTGGATGTAGAAAAGAAGATAGGTTCCATAGGTTACCACAGTTTCTTACTAAAACATCCACAAAGTCATATGATTCCTACGTCCAAGCAACTAATATCCTTCGAAATTTAACAGATATATCCCTTTGTTTACTTAAAAACAATGACCTATTATGATTTGAGTAAATAAGTATTGAGTCAATAATGGAGGGATGTTTCAATTAGATCCTTTCCATCAGTAATTTCAGTGAAATCTTCGTGATAAGAAAGTCAATGTTCTGCATTCAAAGTCAAACTACAATAGACACAGGTTTTAGTATTCTCAAAGTTGAGCAAGGAAAATTCATTTGTCAATCCAAAGACTAGAATTGCTTACAATGCCAGACTTGAAGGCTTCAAAGTTCCAAATTGAATGAGCCTACATTAACAACACTGCAAGTTAAAGTCAATCTTTGACCAAACTGTCTCTAGAGTCTAGTGGGGGATTAACGAAATTGAATGGTCATTTTACAAGGAAATCTCCTCCAAAGACATTGTCCTTTTCACAAGCTCTCTACTCAAATTTAACAAATCTAAGAAAACATTTCACAGTCTGAACAGCAAACATTTCAAAGAAACGACTTCAATTTTTTTGTGCAAACTTAGCCTTGAATGACTCCAGATTACAAAAATCAAAAACCAAAAAGGAATTGAGCTTGGTTACCCTTCGGGGTGGCCCAGTGGTTTGAGCTTGGGACCTCCATGTTGGAGGTCTCAAGTTCGAAACCCCTTACCAGCGAAAGCAAGGGGTTTTCCTTCTGGGTCGAGCTCGTCGCACCAGGCTTATCTAGTGCGGGTTACCTCTGTGGTTTGCGAGCTATTGAATAGGAGCGGGATTTTACCCAGTGCGCACCCAAAGGGTAGCGGCTGCGGATTTCCCTTGTCCTCAAAAGAAAAAAAAAAGGAATTGAACTCTAAGGTTTCGAAGCTAGACAGAGACTTAGAGCTTGTTTGGCTCAGCTTAAAAGCTGGTCAAACTGACTTAAAAGCTGGTTTTTGACTTATTTAGCTGTTTGGCAATACTCAAAACAGCTTATTTTAAGTTAAAAAAAACTTATTTTAAGCCAAAAGTTAAAAGCTGGGGTAGGGGTGCTTTTTTTTTAGCTTATAAGCTGTTTTAAGTTGACCACATTTTTATCTTTTTGTGCTTAATATTTTTATACAATCTCCAAATTACCCATATAACCCTAACATTTCTCTCTTCCATTTTTCCCTTTTTCACGTTTGACATAACAACTTCAGCACTTTTATCCAAACGCATAACTGCTTATTTTAAAAATAAGTTTCAGCACTTTTAAAAGTACTTTTTTAAAGCTGCTTTTATTAAGCCCATCCAAACGGGCCCTTAGAAAATTTAAACCCCAATAGTTATATATCTGAAGAGTTGGAACAACACAAGCACCGAATACATGTATTCTAATTAAGAATACATTTCACACATGATACATCCATTCTTTTGTATGGAAGAACCATTGCCGCTATTTAAGTAATTTCTCTCCATTTTTTTTGAAGAAAACATTAGCAATCAATCTTCTTCCTCCAATAGCCATCATTACTTTGACACAAACGTTTCTAAAACACGCTTATTCATCACAAATATATTAAATTAGAAAACCTTTATAATAATCCTTAACCAATTCATCCCTAATCTGGGAAGCTTAGCAGATGCTTATCATATTTTACCAGGATAATCAAAACACAGCAGACTAGTGTTCCTTCTTGCCCTCCATATCCAGGCAAAACTCGAAACCAGAGTAACATAAATTGGACTTAGGAAAAAGGCAACCTAACAAATTCCTGATTAACAATAGCTAAATCATCAAGTCATAGTCATATTCATTGAATGGGGAAAAAGATGAAATCTTTCAGACTTCATAAAGCTAAATCGAGTTCAAACTCTAATAATAATCCTCTTAAATTATAGTAAACGAAGAAGATGAAATTCAACTGCGTAAATAAACCCTGGACCTATGAACACATCAGTAATAGAATATTTATGATTTTAACATTAAGCAATTAGACCTAGATTATAAAAATCACCTCCTTTTCTTGCCCCAAAATTTACCGGCAAAATTGAACGGCTGTCAATTTGGCGGCTGAATTCTCTGTGCAAATCGGCGGAGGCAACTTCTCTGAGCTTTACAGCAAAGAAGAACGGGCTTTTTGCTGTCCTCCAAATTCCGATTTTGGACGAGCTACCACCAGGGTTAATCCGGTGTTTAGGGTTCGAATTTTGCTATAAATTTATTTTTGTTATAATCCAAATTATAAATGGCATCAATCAAATTAACAGAACTTTAATATGGACGTCGATTAGGAAATCAAAATTTTATTTAATTTTTTTTATGGTAATCAAACTCATACTTTCAAGATTAATACTCTCTTCGTCAACAATTATTTATCATACAATTCAAAATTTAATAAAAAGTGTAATTTAACTAATATACTTGTAGTATACTAAAAATATCAAAATTCTATATAACTTTTCAATTTAACAAAATAGAGTGACTAGTAAGGATAAAATTAAAAAAAAGAAATGATTAATTACTTTTAAATTGTTTAAATTGACAATTAATTTTGAACATCTATTATTGGTATATTTGTTAAACAATTGTAAATGAAAAATATGTGTCTCAAGAATAAAATAGTAAGCGCGACATCATTTATACGTCGATTTTATAAAATGACAATTATGTTTTAATTAGAACTACTTATAAATACTAAGAATTGAGTATTTAATTTGATAGTATGTATCAACTATGCACACCACTTCTTCAAAATGTAATTTTTTATTTATGTTTTAATTTATTTTATGTGAAATGTAACTACCATAGACTTATTTTTCGATCAATTTAAATTTCCAATGTCCTTTGGCCGTTTTGAATTCTTTATCCACTTAAAAGATATATTCTAACTATTTTAAAATAGTTAACATATTTAATTTCACTTTTTAGAGTCAATTTGATAAATTTTACCTTTTGAAGGAGAAAAAAATTATGCTAGAACTAATTATTTACGTGTTATTTTTTTCATATCTGATTTATATTAAAAGATAATATGTATTATATAATTTTGAAAATGTTTTAATTATAAAAGTACTCTCAGTGATGAAAATGTTTGACAAATTTTAGGGATGGTTTAGGTTATTTTATTATTTTATCTATAAATAACTAATTAACACGAATAATTTATTTCAATACTTATTAATACTTTCGATATAATTTATCTTGAAATTCAATAACTCAAAATAAATAAGAAACAATATTTTTGTTCTAAAACTATCTATAATTGTCTATTGTACAGACGATCCTTAATTATATTCTACTTCCAATTGTTCCAATTTTTATTTATGAACAATATAATAGATCAATATCCCTTTTAATTTGAAAATTAGTTAAATTATCATGCAAAAATACCATAAATAAATTGGGTAAATACTAAAAAGTTACTTGAATGTTTTACAATCACATTAGGAAAAATTATTAAAGATAAAAAGTATTCACGAATCATGAGTTTCTTCTAAATAGGTGAATTAACAAGCAAAAATTGGAGGATGTGAATCCATAATTTCTCTTGTATTTTATATACCTGATATAATAATACTCGCTTTATATTTAAAAAAATTAAAAGTGTATTTGATTAAAGGTTGAGTTTATTTATACAATGAAGAAAAAGAAATATGAAAGAATGTAGTCAAATGAATGAGATTTTTTCATTATTCTTAATAAGAGTTTTTGAAAATGTTTACATTGACCATTGTATATAAGGGAAAAAAAGAAACACCAAGAGGTGTATTTCTTTTTTTCATTTTTAATTAAAGTTTTCGAGTTCAAATTTAGAGAACGAGAAACTCCAAATTGAGAGAACTTCTTCTTTAATAAAGTTTAATGTAAAACGAATCTAAATTGTTCAGATTAATTGTTTGAATTTGGAAGAAGATTTGTGAGGAAGAAGAGCTTTGGGGAAGAAGAGTTGAGAGGAAAAGAAAATTTTATTCAAGGCTTAATATTCATTATAATATTGCAGAGTACATTCTGTGTATATATATACACACTAATCCCAAAACTGAATTTAGTTACTATACATTTATCATGTAACTAACTTTTACAAACTAACTAACTAAATGCATATAATAACCAACTAAGTTAACTAATTTCCAATACTCCCCCTCAAGCTGGATGTATTGAAGATATTCAATAATCCAAGCTTGGATAACAGAAAATCATGCTGAGTCCTTCCAAGAGCTTTTGTTAAAACATCTACCTGTTGCTCTTTGGAAATTATGTAATTGGTTCGTATTAGCCCTTGTAGTATCTTCTCACGAATGAAGTGGCAGTCTATTTCGATGTGTTTCGTTCTCTCATGAAACACAGGATTAGCAACAATCTGAAGAGCTGCTTTGCTATCACAATGTATTATGGTTGAGGATTCCAACTTTACACATAACTCCTTGAACAAACTAGTTACCCAAACCACTTTAGCAGTTAAGATTGCTAGACTCCTATATTCTGCCTCAGCAGAACTTCGAGATACTGTATTCTGTTTCTTAGACTTCCAAGAGATAAGAGAGTCACCAAACTTCAACAAATAACCTGTCACAGATCTTCTAGTACTCAGACAAGCTGCCCAATCAGCATCACGAAATCCAGTTAGTTTTGTATCTTTACGTGAACTCATAAGTAAACCCAAACCTGGACTTCCTTTAATGTATTTAATCACTCTCAAAGCAGCATTCCAGTGTGAATGTTTGGGTTGCTGCATAAACTGACTTAAATTCTGGACTGCAAAAGCAATATCTGGTCTAGTATTAGTCAAGTAAAGTAGTTTACCAATCATTCTTTGGTACCTGCTTATATCAAGGAAAATAGGATCATCACTGCTTGTGTTATATGTAACTGAAGTGAGCTTTATATTACATTCCAAAGGAGTAAAAACAGGTTGTGCTCCTGCAAGGCCAGCCTCAAAAATTAATTCCAATGCATACTTCCTGATTCATCACTATACCACTTTCAGATCTGCAAAATTCAATTCCTAAGAAATATTTCAACTCTCCTAGATCCTTCATCTTGAAGTGATTATGCAGCACTTGTTTAGTAGCCTTAATTAACACAGGATCACTACCTGTGATTAGCAAGTCATCAACATAAACCAAAACTATTACCATCCCTGTATCACTTCTCTTAGTAAACAATGAGTAATCCAAAAAACTCTGTGTATATCCAGATTTACATAATGCCTCAGTAAGCTTAGCATTCCATTGTCTTGAGGCCTGCTTTAGACCATATAATGACTTGACTAGCTTGCACACACAATTTTGCTCTGCACTCTTGAATCCTTTAGGTAATTCTATATAGACTTCTTCATATAAATCTCCTTGTAAAAAAGCATTAAACACATCCATTTGAAATATTGGCCAGACCTCTATGGAAGCCAAAGCAATAATGGCTCTTACAGTGACCATCTTCACAACAGGAGCAAAGGTCTCCTGATAATCAATCCCTTCTATTTGATTATACCCTTTAGCAACTAATCTTGCTTTGTATCTATCAACCATCCCATCTGCTTTATATTTAATTTTGAATACCCACTTACAACCAATAACAGATTTTCTTTCAGGTAGTTTCATGATCTGCCATGTACCATTATTTTCTAATGCTTTAATCTCTTGTTCCATTGCTTCCACCCACCTAGGATTTTTCACTACTTCTTCATAAGTTCTAGGTTCTACTTCTTCAGAAAATTGACCAAGGAAAGATTGATATCCAGTAGACAAATGATCATATGTTACATATTTTGATATGGAATAAGGATGATCAGAAACATTTTTTACATAGTCCTTTAACCAAACTGGAGGATTACTTGACACCTCTGAATGTCTGGTTGATATAGGTGCAACCACTGGAATATTAGGTACCATATTATCCTCTAACTCAACATCTTCAACATTGTTAGGATTTTTGGTTTCAGTAAACTCCAAAGTATCATCATTCACTGCTGGTTCTTGGATTGTTATAACATCCTCCACACTTTGAGAATCTGTAGTAATATGTTGATGATTGAATAATGGCACATCTTTGTCCATTTTCTTTGTTGCAAATGGAAACACATCCTCCTTAAAAACAACATCCCTACTTACCAACATTTTCTGGTGGTTCAAACTGTAAACAACATAACCCTTCTTAGTAGAAGAATATCCCATAAACACACATGCATCAACTCTGGTTGAAAATTTGTCATCCTTGACAAGTTTAGTTGCATAACAAAGACAACCAATTGTTCTTAAGTGACTTAGATCAAGCTGTATTCCATGAAACATTTCAAAAGGTGACTGTCCATTTAGAACACTAGTTGGCATTCTATTAATTAGATATACAGCTGCCAAGACACATTCTCCCCAAAATCTTATTGGTAAAGAACCTTGAAATCTCATAGCTCTTGCTACTTCAAGAATGTGCCTATGTTTCCTCTCTACTACCCCATTTTGTTGTGGAGTGTGAGGACAACTACTCTCATGAATGACTCCCAATTTTTCAAACAATGCTTTACATTCACTATTAAAGAATTCAGTCCCATTATCCGACCTGATCTTCTTAACAGTTTTATTGAATTGAGTCTGAACCATGACAAAAAAACACTGTAATATCTGGAAAACATCACTTTTGAATTTCATCAGAAATAACCAAGTCATCCTAGAATAGTCATCAACAATTGTTAGGAAATATCTATAACCAGCATGTGTAAGATTCTTATATGGTCCCCATACATCCAAATGAAGTAATTCAAAAATGACAAAGGTCTTTGATATGCTTAAAGGAAAAGGATGTCTAGTTTGTTTTGCAAGTGGACAAACTGGACAATTGTTACACTCATTTATATCTTCACCTCTTTTAATCAAAGACAAACTTTTCAACACCTTCATGGAGGGATGTCCCAGCCTATTATGCCACTTGAAGCCTTCTGAATTAAAAACCATACTGCTTATCAATGTATTTTGTTCATCATGTGCATCTCTTTTTGGAATTTGGCTGGGTAAGTAGTATAGACCATTCCTCTCTTTACCAATCCCCTTCACCTTTCCATTTAAGAGGTCCTGAAATACACAGAACTCAGGGAAAAAATTCACAGAACAATTCAACTGTCTAGTTAGTTGTGAGACTGATAACAAATCATACTTAAAATCAAGAATAACTAACACATTCGTCAATGTGTCACCATTTGACACTTTACAGCTACCAATTTGAGTTACTGAAGTTGCTTGTCCATTAGGTAGATGAACCTGTTTATCTAGATCTTTTACAGAAACAGAATAATCTAATTTTGTTTCTTTAGAGG